CAGGGATGTTGCACAGTTGAGCAATTCTAGGAAGCAATTAGAATGATCATGAGCATCAGGAATATGATTTGAGGTATGATAATAAATCAGACATTATTTATATTGCTTATGAAAACGAGATTAAAGGGATGTCAGGGTTTCATATAATCCCCCAAGTAATGTATTGGTCTTGGTAAAGTGATCGATGCTGTAGCAGAGAGAGCCTTACACGTTAATAGTTGGTACAAAATGATAGCGTAGGTGCATGGGGAACTGCGGATAGCATGAACTTAAAGAAGCTTTATTGTGTGGTCTGAAACCAGTCAGATATTTCACGTGCTGAGGTTACACAGAATTTACATAAACCATACAAAATGTTCTTCTAAACCTTGTTGCACCTGGACATTAGACACCAAACATCCGACCACGGGTAAATTGCAGTGAAGAAACATACTTTTTTCCTGATTCTGTTGCACTGTAATAGAATTTTTGCCACTTTATGGTAGGTAACAGAACAACCTGCTTCACTGGGTTGCCTGTAGAAATGTTGTACACATGGTCATGAAGCAAATACTGAGGGACATGAAAATTGTGCTGATAAAACTGGTGTCCCACTGTGATAAATTTCTGATAACCTGAATGCTTATGTAACACAGAAGACACATTTCTGGGAAACCTGAACTGGAAAGTGCAATCTTTTTTTAATTATAATTATTTTTCACATTGTAAATTTTACGAGACATTGCAATTCAAACCACCAATCTCTGCTTTCATTATTAGTAATGATATTAATAACTTATATTAATAATAATAATAATAATACCGCTATACTGGCTTTAATTGGCCTTTTGAGAGGAAAAGATGTTGCTTAGTGTAGCTGCAACTCTTGTGTTTCTGATGGAAGGTGGAGCGGCTTAATTGCTTCAAATGAAGAGAGTACCCTCATTATGCATTTGCTTCTTTGACCAGTCTAATTACAGCCCTCCTGCCCTGCAGCCAGGTAAGGAGGAGGGCTGTCCTACTGCGGGTCCCCACAGGATGGCGCTTGGGATGTATTTATGGGAAATAGCTGCCCTGAAATGACACTGACTCCCTGAGAAACTGCCAGCAAAACTCACAGTTTGTGTCTTCTAAAAGCTGTGGTTTCTGATTTTTGGTTTTCTGTATGAATGGAGCTTTCTCTCCAGAGTTTATAGTATAACAAGGATTGTGTTCTGGAGCCCTCAAGCCAGTACTTTGCTTGCTTGCTTTATTTTGAGGCGCTTTTTTTTGTTTTATTTGTTCATCAGGATTACATTGAGTTATCAGCCATTTGCATGCAAGGAGTTGGACAGTGTGTAAGAGGAATGGTGAATTTCCTAGTTTGTTGTCTGCTAAAGGACTTACTCTTCCACTAGAAACACTTGATTTTCTTTTAGTGAGACTGGGTTTGTGGCTGAGTTAGTCTGCCAAGCCCTCAGTGAAGCTCTGTTTTGAGATAAGGCGGTAGCCCTTTATTCTTGTTTGCAGATGTTAGTATTATATGTTGCTGATAGATGCAAATGGGAATTTACACAATGATTTATAGGAACACAAAGAAGTCATTAAATTTACCAGAGAGACCCAAAGTGTGAACAGTGAGGAATAATGAAGTTTATGATAGCATCTATTAAACAAATAATAATAATAGTATCTTTCAATGTATTTATTACTTTTTGTTGGCGTCATGGCATCTAATGCTTTTTTTTAATCTGTTAATCCATGAAAGAGGATTAATCCTCACAAATAGTTCGCTGCCGCTATCTAAAAAGCTCAACACGCAAGCCGAGCAGCCTACCAGTAACAGAAACCACAAAGTACAGCATTATAGGATATCATTATCTCTGTGTGTAAGCAGGAACTAACAGCTCTTGCAAATGTAAATGTTCCACCTGCTCATTGTAAGAAGGTTGAAAAGCAGGAAGAGGGATAAACAGACATACGTGAATCAAGCTGTAATAAAATCAATACCCTCAGGGTGAGTTCTTCCCCAAGAAAGGATGTGTATTTGTAACACAGATTTAGCTCACATGGCATAAAACCCTGGGGATGCCACAGCAGCTCATGACTTCCACCTGTGCTGGCAAATGTGGCAAAAAGCTAAAAAAACCCAAAAGAGTAGCAAAATGTTTAGTGATACGTATTTTTCATTAGCAGGTTTTTGGGACGGGGCTGTAATGAGTAGTTGAGTGACATGTAGGATATGTCTGAAAAAGTTTCCCAGCCAGTGAGTTAGGAAAATTCTTTTATATGTGTTAAAACATAAGCCAGAATTGGGAACTTTTCAGTAACGGTGTGACATGAGGCTAAGGTAACACAGCAGCTGGCTGCTGCCAAAAGAGAAATGCCTCCTAACTGTCTGCCTTCCCCCCGCCTGCCTCCAGCACGGTCCAGTACTCTCCCTTGTCAGCTCTAGCACACTTTTGCACCCCTTTGCTGAGCCCACACAACTCGTCACAACCGGGTCAGTAACAGGAAAGTGCAAATGATTCAGCAGCACGAGGTTGGTGCATCAGCTCACCTTGTTCCGTGAAGCGACATCCTCAGTTTTTATAAAAGCTGAAGCTGGGAAACTTAGAAATACTGGCCTACCAGGCCTACAGGATTTCACTGAGCTTTGGGTAGAGGTAGTAGAGATCAACATAAAAGGTGCTGCTACACTTCCTAGGTGTGATCCTAGGAAGACGTATTTTTTTCAGGATCAAGAGGAGTTGTGATTCTGCTGTTGTCAATACGGATTCTTTAAATTAACTGCTGGTGCTTTCCAGGGGTGGTATTGGTACTCCAGTGTAGCTGCTAAGCAGTTATGGCTAAGGAGGTCTGTGTAAGAAGCCCCCAGAGGGGTTGTGCATTGTCTTGCTGCACAATGAGGTCTGTCAGTACTTCGTGATATAGTAGTGAGGTGGAAATGTGGGAAAACCTGCCCCTCTGGACTGCCAGCATCCCTCACTGCTCCACTAGATCTTATACACATATTTGTCATCTTATTTAAAGAAGAAAGTCAAACTTTTGCCTTTACAAGCTCAATCTGTTCAAATATCTGCATAGAATGGGATTTTCTTCTCTGCCTTGCAGACTCAACCCCAAGTTAAACCATACTTTTGCTGGTTAGACATTGCTAGAGGAATCGGACACCCCTGGTGCAGAGCTGTCAGAGCTCACTAGCAAGTCCTGTAATCCTAAACCACGTTTGGTAGACTAGAGTAGGTTTTTGGAGGTACCTATTAAGCAGGTAACTCAACTAAAGAGAGATTCTAGTAATTAGCTTAGACTAGATACCTAACTGTAAATAGCTCAAGTTTAATGAGACTTATCTCCACTAAGCTGTATTCTCCTAAAGTACAAGTGCACAGTTTAGCCATGCTTTCTGTTCTATAAATCCCACAAATCACAATTGTTCCTCTCCTGGGTACCAATTGATGAACTGATAGATTCAGCAACAACTTTCAGGAGTTTTTTGTAGTAATTTAGCAATATGTGAGTATTTTTCATTAGCAGATTGTTGGGGAAGCACCATTATGATAAATACAGATTTTTAATTAAAAAGGTGAAATTACACCAGTCTTCTACCTGTATATAAAAGCATATCATAACATATTACAAAACTAAGGGGAAACATGCTGATTTCAAATCTTGACCTTATTCAGAACAGCTTTGATGTTCATTTGACAGAAAAGGCTTTTTTATTCTGGAAAAGCTGATTGTTGGGGAAAAGAATAAATTTCAGCATAAGCCCATGGTTATCCTTCTACTGTAGCTGGTCATTTACTTTCAAATCTTGATTTTCTAAAAGGGCCTTCTGCATCCTGAAGGTGAGCTGTAAAGCAGTAACTCAGTTGTGCGTTTGATTCACAGACAAACACTGTCCAGAAAGCTGTGAAAGGGCTAGATGCTACTGTACAGTTTACTGTATGAGAGGTAAGGACCGACACCGTGAACGCGATGTGTCGATCCGTTAAGAGC